TAAAAGTAACGGAAAGAAATCCTCAGGTAAGGATTAACAAAAAATAAAAATAAAAGCAAAGCAGCACTTGTTCTTATTCGGCCCCACTCTTGGAGCTGACCCTGAGCTGAGTCCACCAGAGGGAGACAGAAGGACGTAAGAACAGGGCTGAGGGTTTGGACACACAGTCCCCCCAGCGTGGCCTCCCCTGACTTCCCTCTGACGACAGTCACACTCGCACGAGTGTGGGGGAAGGCCTGCACAGCTGGGACAAGAAGAAGGGGCCCCAGGCCCTTCCCTGCAGGTGGAAGCCTTCAAGCGAAACCCCCGTTGGAGGGCCCGGGGCCTCCTGACCTCTCTCAACAGGGAAGGGCGGGTGGTCCCCCCGAGCCACGCGCTAGAGCCCCGTCCCTGCCACCTCGGAGGGAACTCGCCCTGCAGGCGGGTGTGGGAAGGTGGGTGGACAGAGGCTTCCGTGCTTGTCCTGGCCCCAGCGGTCTCATTAACCCCGAGCCCTGTGCCTGCCTCCCCCTGGATCTGCGAGGGGGCGGCTAGGGGTACAGGGGTGCACCCAGAGTCCCCACCTAGTCCCCGGCAGTCCTCAACCCCAGGAAGCAGCCCTCAGTGCCCCAATTCCACAAACAAGGCCAGTCTACGTCTCATCAAGAGACTTTGCCCAAGATCAACCTCAGCAGCTCAGCTACAAAGCATTTCTGAGCCCCAACCCCGCATGAGGACTGCACTGCATAAAAAACACAAAGCTCCCAGGCTGATGCAGACCATCTCAGAATGTGTGTGTCAGGATGGCCTGTGGTGAACGCCATGAAGGGAGGGCACAATGCCAGGGAAGGAGCGACAGGGAAGCTGGCCCTCGGGAGGGACCTGGGGGCACTGCCCTTTGAGCTGAGGTCTGAGGGATCAGCGAGCCACAGAAGCAGAGGAGGAGAGCTCTCCAGGCTAAGGCAGGAGCTGGTGCAAAGGCCCTGGGGCAGCAGGGAGTGCGGCACCTTAGGAGAGCTGCAATATGCGCAGACTGCCGGGGGTGGGGTGGGCCAGCAGCTGGAACAAGCCAAGGCCACAGAGACAGCACTAGCCAGATGTGAGGGTGAGGATCCTGGGGCCACAGCAGGGCTGTCACTACAAGGTGTCCGTGAGGTGGCCCAGCCACTCTGCCTTTAGAAAGTAACTCTGGCTGCAGAGAGGCAATTTGGTGTAGCCACTACGGGAAACAGGATGGAGGCTCCTCAAAAAATTAAAAATAGAAATACCATATGGCCCAGCAATGCCATTTCTGGGTATTTATCAAAAACAAAACAAAGCCCGGCCGGGCGTGGCTCAGTGGTTGAGCATCGACCTAGGACCCAGGCGATCGGGGTTCGATTCCCGGTCAGGGCACATGCCCGGGTTGCAGGCTCGATCCCCGTGTGCAGAAGGCAGCCGATCAATGACTCTTTCATCACTGATGTTTCTCTCTCTCTCCCCCTCTCCTTTCTTCTCTCTGAAATCAATAAAGATATATTTTTAAAACAAACAAACAAAAAAATTAACTCGAAAGACATATGCGTCCCTGTGTTCACTGCAGCATTACTAGTAATAACCAAGATGCGGAAGCAACCTAGGTGTCCGTCAATAGACAAGACGTGACACACACACACACAGGAATATTATTACTCAGCCATAAGCGAGAATGAAATCTTGACGCTCGCAACAACGTGGATGGGCCCAGAGGGTGCTAAGCTAAGTGAAATAAGTCAGACAGAGAGAGACAAATCCCGTACGATCTCACTTCTATGTGGAATCGGAAACGAAACGAAACAGAAACAGACCCACAGAACAGAGAACGAGCTGGTGGCTTCCAGAGGGGAGGGAGACGGAAAAAAATAAAACAAAAGGCTACAAGAGCCCAGCTGTAAGGTTAAAAAAAAAAAACAAAACAAAAAACNAGAGAACGAGCTGGTGGCTTCCAGAGGGGAGGGAGACGGAAAAAAATAAAACAAAAGGCTACAAGAGCCCAGGTGTAAGGTTAAAAAAAAAGCAAAACAAAAAATGGTAAGAAAGGTTCAAAGTCATTCAAGATTAATTGACCCTGCTCCCATAAATATTCATAAAAAGTAACTACCAGCTTATTGAAAGAATTAATGAAATTCACCTTGTATATGGTGACACACTAGCAAGGGTAGAAAACGCCCTTCTGGCCAAGAGAAAGGCCCCACTCAAGAGACTCGTGGCGGTGGCGTACCTCGTAAAGGACGCCCAAGGTCACCCGACACACTCCCTACCCGAGCAGGCCTGCTCCCCACACTAACAGCCGACACAGAACAGGTCGATCGGTTCGGCTCTGTCATGAGTGTGGAAATGCAATACCAACCCCCTCACACGAGACAGGACAGTGGGGGGAAGTGAGGCGTCTACAAGCCGCCCGGACTCGGGCGCAGTCGGGCTCTAATCGAAAGGGTCGGGTGCTGATGAGCTGCTGATACAGGCTTTTCACCTGCCAATCCGTCACCGAGCCCCGGGCAGAGGGTGTGAGCGGCGGGCGGGCTGGCGTGGCCGGTCTACCTCCCCTGGCCGACTGGCCCCGGCGCCCCCACATGGGCTCTGCAGGACCTGGCCCCGTCCTGGCGCTGTCTCCGCCTCGAAGGTGTGCTTTCTAAGCAAGCGTCGCAGGAGAAACCCCCCCAAAGAGCAACAGCACCGTTGGCTTTGACCCCAAACGCAACTGCCACCGAGAAAGAAAATTCAAAGTTGCTTACCGGCCACGAAACTTGGAAAGGAGGCCACCTTTTTTGTCTGTTAGGGGAGAGATAGTAACAGCCGTAAGCATGGGGCCCACAGAACCGAGGCCAAGGGGAGCAGCGTCATGCAAAAGGCTAAGCCCGTGACCGACTGGGGTCCCTGCCGAGCCAGCTCCGTGGAGGGAGCTGGTCTCCCGCGGGCACCGTGACGGGCGGGAGGGGCTCCCGTAATCTACTTCCAAGGGAGAACCTGCTTCCAGGATTACGCTTAGAAATTAACGACAGGGCACTGAAGGCCATCATCGAACACCTGGGACCCTCACAGGCNCATCGTCGAACACCTGGGACCCTCATAGGCGCGCATCGCTGCTGGAAGGGAGCCTAGAGACCCTGTGACCTAATGGCTCTCCCAACGGTGGGCCTAGGAATGACCAGAGCGGGGCTGTCAGAGCAAGGTGAAGGGGACGGGTCCTGGCTGGCGCTGCTCGGCGGGGAGAGCGTCGGCCTGCACACCGAAGGGTCTCGGGTTCGGTTCCCAGTCAAGGGCAGGTACCTGGGTTGCAGGTTTGATCCCGGACCGTGCATGCGGGAGGCGACCAATCGATGTGTCTCCCATCCATGTCTCTCTCTCCCTCTCCCCCCTTCCACTTTCTCTAAAAATCAATGGAAAAAATATCCTCAAGTGAGGACCAGCAACAAGGTAAAGGGGACTGGACGCCACGCCACGGGTGACCATCGTCACTTCATCGGCGTTATGAACTCTCACCCGGACCGCTGCCCAGAAAAGGGAAGGGCTTGCTTCAGGCTTCGTTTTAATAACCTCCGTCGGGCCGGGGTTAGCTGACACGGGATCGCGTCTTAAAATTATGTTGTTGGGAAGAACAGTGGTTCTCAACCAGGGTGACTTTCCTCCCCAAGGGGACATCTGGCAACGTCTGGAGACATCTTTCGTTGTCACAACTTTGCGGGGAGGCTGCTGCTGGCACCAAGCAGGCAGGGACCAGGGGTGGTTTTAAATACCCTACAGGGCACAGGACAGCCCCCAGCACAGAATTATGTTGCCCCAGTGCCAACAGTGCCACTGTTGAAAATCCTGGGTTTAGGACATGTCAGGTAACGGGCAGAATGAGCTTCGGTCAGGTCGGGGAGCACCAGCGACCCCCCACAGGCCCTCGCCAACTCGTGAACACACGCGGC